TACTCCAGTGTAGTTCTCAGCACGTTCGAGGACGAACGTATGTTTAAGTGGGAGAGAATGTAACGACCCGACCGGTCGTTTCGAGCCCTAGCGCGTCGTTCAGCGGTCTGAGGCCATGAGCAGCTCCATTTCAGGAATTGTGACTTGTTCGCATGGTCAGAATTTAAATTCAGGCAGATCGGAGTTAAATTTAAATGAAAATTCTCATTTGAGAAGCTTAAAGTTGAAAGAATGAACTAGGATTGGAATTTTGAGTAAACAACCTCGGAATCAGGATCTAAAGGTTCCAGCAGGTTCGTATGATGATTTCGGACTTGGGCGTATGCCCGGATTGGGTTTTGGATAACCCGGGAGCGTTTTGGCGCCTATTGTGGAAGTTAGCATTTTAGAAGGAATTTCTTAAGTTTGGCTTGAAGTGCATTTCAGTGTTATCGATGTCCGTTTGGGATTCCGAGTCTAGGAATAGATCCGTATGGTGATTCTGGAGTTGGGAGCGCGATCGGAAGTGAATTCGGAGGTCCGTAGGTCATTTTGAAGCCATTTGGCTAAAGATAGAAATTTGAAGGTTTTGGGAAGTTTGACCGGAGGTTGACTTTTTGATATCGGGGTCGGAATTCAATTCCGGAAGTTGGAGTGGGTCCGCAGTGTCAAATGAGACTTGTGTGCGAATTTTGAAGTCAATCGGACGTGATTTGATAGGTTTAAACATCGAAAATAGAAGTTGGAAAGTTCAAAGTTCATAAAGCTTGGATTGGAGGTCGATTGATGATTTTAGCGTTGCTTGATGTGATTTGAGGCCTCGAGCAGGTCCATAATGTGTTTTGGGATTGGTTGGTATGATTGGTTGGGGTCCCGGGGGCCTCGGGTGGATTCCGGGTGGCTAACGGATCAGATTCGGAGTTTGAGGAAGATCTGGAGCTGTTGCTTCTGGTATTTCCGCTTCTGCGTATTTGGGACCGCAGAAGCGGCCCTGCAGAGGCGAGAATTTGACCGCAGAAGCGGTTGGGACCAAAATGGAGAGGACCGCAAATGCGGTCGAGCAGCCGCAGAAGCGGTACCGCACCTGCGGTCGAAGCATCGCAGAAGCGAGAAAGGGGGGCTTGTGAAGGAGCCGCAGAAGCGGCCTTTAGACCGCATAAGCGGAACCGCTGATGCGGTATAGTTTCCGCAGAAGCGAAAAGACCTGGAGGCAGAAAGGTTGATTTAAATCTTGGGTTGAGTTCATTTCTCCCATTTCTTCATGGCTTGGGCGATTTTTGGGGAGCTTCAAGAGAGGATTTTTGTCGTCATGGTTAAGGTAAGTTATCCCCATCACTTTTGAGTTAAATACATTGATTATGTATGGATTTTTAGCATGTAATGGGTAGAAAATTAAGGGTTAGAGGAAGACCTAGAAAATTAGTGTTCTTGGATTTTGACCACGATTTTGAGTATGGAATTAAGAGAAAATCATATATTTGAGTTTGTGAGTTCATGGGTAAACTTTATCTTCGAGAAATTTCGGATTTCGGGCACGTGGGCCCGAGGGCATTTTCGTCAACTTTTCGTTCGGGTTAAGAATTGTTATAAACTGGGTTGTAAAGTATAATTGAGCATGTATTAATGGATTTATATGATCGTTGGCTAGTTTTGGAGCATTGTGTGTTGGTGCAAGTCTTCGGAAGAATGTAGAATGCCGATTGTGGATCTTCGGAGCGAGGTGAGTCTCCTTTCTAATCTTGTGAGGGGGAATTTACCCCATAGGTGAGTTAAACTGGTTAAGTGCTCCTATTTGTGGGGGCTACGTACGCATGAGGTGACGAGAGTCCATGCGTAGCTACAATTATGCTATTGTCCGGGTAGTCTAGGACCCAAAAGCATGTTATATTTGAATTAATTGTGAACCCATTGATGGTTTGAATTGCTTAGATCACATTAAATTAATAAATGGATTTCTAAAAAGACTTAAGCTTCGTTTTCTCAAATTATTAAAGAGAATTGGCCTTTCTTGGATAATTGCTCCATGTTGACTCCTTGACTGATTGTCTGACTGTGTGTGTGTGTTTATTTTGGAACGGGCCGAACGCCTCGGCAGATTAATAGATGCATCTATATGCGCGTCGTCGACCCTCGGCAGGTGCACATTTATTTCTGTTGGATCGGACCGTCGCCTCGGTATGATTTGCGCATGCTTGTGTTGCTGCCTGGACTTAATTAAGTTATTATTGCCCTTTTGTGGCTTAAAAATATTTGGATTATATTTAAAGAGAAACTCTGGAAATTTTCCTATGAAAGAATTACGTGTTTACTTGTTTCCTCTATCTGGATTAAAATCATGTTTATAAAATAAATCCACTGTTTAATATGTATATTAAGGATAAATAATCATTGGACTATTAGAGAGTGTCAAGTTGACCATCTCGTCTCTACCCCTTCGGGATTAGGCGGGACACTCACTGAGTACACGTTGATTACGTACTCATACTACACTTCTGTGCATTTTTGTTGCACAGGTATATATACCTCTAGCAGCCTACGGGGCGTAGCAGCACGGACGTTTCTGGGACTAGGTGAGCTGCATCATTCGAGGCGTCCGCAGCTAGGGTAGTCCCTTCCAGTGTACTGTATTTACTTTCCGTCCACTGTATTCCGAACGGATGTTGTATTTTATTTCTCTTATCAGTAGTTGCTCATGTACTTGTGACACCGGGTTCTGGGGATGTATTTGGATTATTTGAAAATCTTAAAAGTTGTTTAAATATTTTATTTATTTATTCGGAAGAATACACTGAGTCTTGTTTAAAACGTATAAAAGAAATATTTTTCAAAAGTGTTAAAATGAGATTTAATTAAGTATTTGAGTTGGCTGGCCTGACGGCGGTGTCCGGCGCCACCACGACCCTTAGTGGATTTTGGGTCGTGACAGACCATTCATGCCATAATAATGACATTATTTTCTTATATCATCTCAAACCTCCTTCTAGAGGTGAGTGTGGTATATTCACTACCACTAGCACGTTCATATTCTTCCAAGAATGAATATGTATTCATAAATCAGTTGTTGTCACATTCACATCATGAATAGACCATAATCATATGTATGTGCTTTATAAAATCTCATGTCAAATCAATGACAAATATTACTTTCACAAGTGGGGGATTATTTTGAGAATCCTTATTATTCTCATTATCACAATGATGACGATTATAATTTCGTCTATTGCCACGTCCACATCCATTGATACATTCATAGTGACAATTTTGTCTTCTTTCAGACTTATCACACACTGCTATCACATTCTCTTAAGGGAATGAGAATGGAGCAAATTCAATGGGACGGGTTTCCACTTTTTATGCCCATAATCATACATGAATTTGATCATGGCAAGACATAGAAATTTTTACCACTTCAGGTGGTTATAATTTCTTACAAACTCCATTAGAGTTATAATCAAACTTTGTTGTCTTTGCTTGTATTTAAAATCAAAGTATAGAATAAAAGAGAAAAATACGGTAAAATACTTACCTTAAATCCAGAATTTAATCATGAAGGAAGTTCATGAAATAATTGACAATCATTATGCTCAATCCCAAATCTTCTACTCAATTGGTTAGAGTCTCGTGCTGATAATGTGTTATAAAACAATAAATGAAGAAGAAGAGTATTGCAGAGAAAAGTAGAGGGAGAGAATTCTTATTGAATTTTGGGATGAATTACAATGGAATAGAACCTCTCTATTTATAGGGAGAGAGTGACTTAGCCACCAAGTAATAAACCCTAGAATCTCTCTAAATATAGACATTTACCATAAATAAAATTCTATTTATAACAAGTATCAAATTTTGCCCGTCCGTTAATTAAAATTTGTGAACAATTGAACAAACATAATTTTGCTATTCATCCTCGGTCGAGTAGCGCCGAGGTTTATTTTACAAAACTTCCTTAAACGGGAACAAAATATAAACGGTGGTCTCAAATCATCCTATTTGTATAAATCACACAAGTACCACTCATCCTGTTTCAAGGTCAAAGTAGAATACACAAAAATTGGCAAAGCCATTGTTAATCAGTCAAATTAAATGAAACACACGTGAAAAATACCAACTTTTTACTATAGAAACACCCAAGTATTTAATGCTTATTTATTTTATATTTTATGTAAATAGGGTGGCAAATATTGATTCGAGAATTGCAATATTAACATACTTTAGAGAAAATAAAACACTCAAATTTCATAGTAATAACTATCACTATGTCTCAATCCCAAACAAGTTGTGATTGACTATATAACCATGATTCTCTATTTTATCTGAGAGCGTCCTAACACTATATATACTACGAGATTCATCGTAAATTGGCTAATTTTATGCTAGTTGCTTGCATACCGCAATCCTCCTCTTTTTATCCGAGTTTGGGACCACTAATATGAGCAAGCTCACACGTGCAGATAACAACCAAATTTTATAGCAAAGATTCATAATCTAAGAAAGAAATTTTTATTAAAAAAAAAAATCAGAAAATTTTGGAAAATAACAAAACTAATTTACCTCAGGTTGACTAAAATGCTTTTTAGAGTTAAATTTACCAAAATTGAAGCACCTTGAGTCATGTTATGGAATCACTTGGAGCTCACGTACAAGATATGGTCTACACACCTAAACCTATGAGAGAAATGAAAGAAATGCCACGCAGTGGCATAAAAGTCAGAGGACTTTTTTGAGAAAATGCAAGGATGCTGCACTTGTCAAATCATATTTACTTTTCCTAAATATGCACCAGGAGTTCTGTATGTGAAAACAACCAAACACCCTTGTCACTGTAAATGAAATAGCATACACTTACCAATAACATAGCTTGCATATCTTTGCATATCTTGTTACAAAAGCACTTACCAAGAAGTTCAGATTGTGGAAAGTTAAACATGTACTGCTGGTTCTAAAACTGTATAGATTCTTTGTGTCAAGATTTTTTGTGTGTAGGGTAGTGGCATAATAGCTAAATTATATGAAATACAAGGATGATGCATTTTTACCAAACACCCTTTTTATCATAAAGGAAAAAGCACATTGTAGAATGACCAATTCAATCTTTACAAGCAAAGGGAGTAGGCAAACCAACAACATAGCTATAAGACCTTTACATGTCGTGCTACAAGGCACTTTTTTTTTTAATGATGGTGGTGTATAGTTGGGCGCACCTCGACTATTCTACTAGGTATCTGCTACCTCTCACCAGCACAGACAATTTATAGAGAATACCTGTTTTCGTGTTACAAGGCACTTTACAAAGAAGTTTACATGGTTGAAAGTTAGATAGTACTGCTGGTTCTAAAAGAGTATTGCTTGATATCAAGAATCTTTGCTAAAGAAGAATCTTACTGTTTACTTCAAATGTCTTCCAAAAACCTCTTCTCCTTCCTCTTTCTACTTGTTCTTCTGTTTTCAAGTTTTTCAGAAGCAACAGCTTGGATAAGATCTGGGTTCTGGTATGCTGGCAGTGAGTTTCCAGTTCCTGAAATTCCTTCTACTCTGTTCACACACATTCACTTTGCCTTTGCATATATCAACACTTCAAGTTTTGAGCTTTACATATCCCACTCTGATGAACCGTATATCTCTACTTTCTCAAACACTGTCAAGCAAAAGAATCCCTCAGTTATCACACTTCTATCCATCTGGGGCGGAAGGGATGAGTCCCCTGACTTTTTCGCGATGACTAGCCAGTTTTCTCGTAGGAAATCTTTCATCACAACTTCAATAAAAACTGCTCGACAATATGGATTTCAAGGGCTGGATCTTTTTGGTGTCAACCCGAACACAGATGCAAACATGACTAATATGAGATCATTCATTGAAGAGTGGCGGACAGCGATTAATTCTGAGTCGAAGAGTTTTGGTACAAAAAGACTGATCTTGACTATGGGAGCATACTACTCACCTATGCTAGATTCCATGTCCTACCCAGTAGATACAATTATCAGAAACTTTGATTGGGTTCATCTTATAGCATATGACTACTACTTGCCTACAAAAGATAATTTTACAGGACCACATGCAGCTTTATATGACCCTACTAGCAAACTAAATACAGACCATGGTATAAAGGAATGGATCAAGAGAGGATTACCAGCCAATAAAATAGTTCTAGGTTTGGCATACCATGGTTATGCATGGACACTTGTGAATCCAAAACGTAACACAGTACGCTCACCTGCAAGAGGTTTGGCAATAACACGCGACGGATCAATGAGCTACAGATACATCAAGCGGTATATGAAAAGTTATGGAGTCACACCAGTCTATAACTCCACATTTGTTGTGAACTATGTCACCATTGGATCATTTTGGATTGGTTACGATGATGTCGAGGCTATCAGAACTAAAGTTTCTTATGCAAAGGATAAGGGGCTTCTAGGTTTTGCTGCATTTCAAATTCCAAGTGATGATGTCGATTGGGAGCTTTCAAAAGCAGGTTAAATCATAGAGAGCTTTGCTACCATTTCAAGATTCACTAACTCCTATTCACTCAGCTCTATCAACTAATGTTTTTTTCACAAATTAATACTAACTTTCTTTAAAGCTAAGGGCGAAGAAGAAGATCAAAGCAGCAGCAACCGAAGGTTACTGGCAATTCTTCTGCCAACACTCACCCTCGCCATTCTCCTACTAAGTACAATAGTGTGCATCTTGAAAAAGAAAACCATAAGATCTGAAGGTAACTTATTCAACCCCTTGTCGCTATTTCTTTTAAATGACCAACCAGAATATACTGGAAGTGAAAAGTTTTCTTTGATTATAGGGATCAGGGAATTGAATGAAAGAGCTATAGGTCGTACCCTAAAAGTTTTCAGCTTTGATCAAATAAAAGCAGCTACAGACAATTTCTCAATTAAAAACAAGCTTGGAGAGGGAGGATTTGGACCTGTTTATAAGGTATTGATAACCCAACTTTTGCTTTATCCGTTTACAGGTGATTCAAATTATGTGTCAGTAATGCTAGGCGGCCATGAGATCAGACAATCCGAAGCATAATATATCAGAAACAGGGAAACAAGGATGGCAGGAAATTAGAATAACCACCTTGGCAGCATTTTGAAATAGCCATGTTCAATTAAGAAAACAAAAGAAATACAATAACAAATAACAAGTCCCTGGTTAGTGCATAACATACCTTCTGACTACCTTCAAGTGTTAGTAATCTCATCAGAGGAATGTAAATCTTGTGTTTGTTTGTTTGTCTTCATTCACTTCTCTGAAACAGAGAAGAGCGAAACAGCTGAGTACTCAATTTGTAAAGCAGTCATGTAGAAGTAGATGAAACAAAATCCAGTGCTTAAATTGACTTTCATTTGGTGCATCAAAACCATATATTTGAGTAAATCAAAAGAAACCTTCATCTATAACAGTACGAATGAAGCCTGAAGCAACGAAACTCTGTTTCATTCCCTATGAAGCCTTTATTTTATGCACATCCCTCTAACCACTTTGAACCTGTTTCTTATTATACATTTTAGTAGAAAATCTGAGCTAATCTTATGCTCTTTTTAGCCCTCAATGTGTACTGTCACCACTTATCCATGCATATACCTGATATACTTTGTGCAGTTGGAAGTTTTTATATACATATCAAAATGTGAAAACAGCTCTACATGGTAAGTGGAGGTATAGTTTTATGATGAGTATAGTTACTAATCGTACTCCCTGTTTCACCCAGGGAAGGTTAAGTGATGGGCAAGAAATTGCAGTAAAACGGCTTTCAGCATGCTCTAAGCAAGGAATAGAAGAGTTCCAGAATGAGGTCACACTTGCTTCAAAGTTACAGCACGTCAATGTTCTACAACTTCAGGGCTTTTGCATTGAAAGAGAAGAGAAGATACTGGTTTATGAGTACATGCCAAATAAAAGTTTGGATTTCTACCTTTACGGTGCGTAAACACCTACCTCATTACAAAATATATAACAGTACTTCATATGGTAATCCAAGATCTTAAGGCATAGATGGTAATCCATCTATATGCCACATGTCCAATAATTCATTATCTGATGCAGATCCAGTACAGAGCCTGCAGTTAGATTGGGAGATGCGGGTTCGTATTATAGAAGGAGTTACTCAAGGACTTCTATACCTACAAGAGTACTCAGCATTCACAGTCATTCACAGAGACTTGAAAGCTAGCAACATTTTACTGGACGACGAGATGAAACCGAAAATCTCAGATTTTGGTATAGCTAAACTTTTCCAGAAAGATGAAAAGGAAGCAAACACCGGAAGGATTGTCGGGACCTAGTAAATATCATGACTCTTAACCACTGTTACTTACTTAATACTCCTACCTCCTAACATTGCAGCTTGTGTTCTGTAGTGGTTGTGTTCCTCCAGAGTATGTTAAGCGAGGTGTATACTCCAGGAAATATGATGTTTACAGTTTTGGAGTTTTATTGCTGCAAATCCTTGGCGGAAAGAAGAATTCAAGTGAATATGGAATCAAGAACGATCTGAATCTTCTAGAATACGTAAGTCTTTGCCGTCTTATCTAACTAGTTCAATCTCAAAATTTTCTACGTGGACACTAAGCTAATACGATCAATATTCAGGCATATGAACTTTGGGGAAAAGGCAATGGAGTGGATTTTCTTGATCTATCACTGCAAGATGATTCTCGAATAGGCGAGCAACTGAGATACATGCAAGTTGCACTATTGTGTGTCCAAGAAAAATGGGAAGACCGACCATCGATGTTGGAGGTGTACTCCATGCTCAAAAATGAAACTGAGGTCTTGCCCAATCCTAAAGTTCCTGCCTTTTCCAAGAATAAAGACAATGACACACAAGAGACTTTAGTCACACCTGACCTTACTTGTTCGGATAATAATCTTACTATATCCCAACTTATAGCTCGTTAACACTTAAAAGTTTCGGGGAGCATTTTAATCTCACAAATGGTCTTTTTGCCTCAGTTTCTTTAGTTGGTCTCCGGAATCCCGTAGAGCAAGTTCCTGTTGTATACAATACATCACCCAGTCACAATTAGCAACTTTTTTCATAATTTTCCTTTGATGAAGGAAAATTGTTTAAGTAGTGAATTGAAGTATGACTAAAGTAGAGTCTAACATGTGATTGCCTACCAAGGAAATTCCCACAAGTTAACAAGTTAGATGCCAAGCCCAGTCTTCTTAAATTAATTGATCCAGCAACGACACTAAAACATTGCCACAGACTGAAATATAATCAATGATTAACAAAGATCATTTTCAAAAATCCACGAGTAATTCTCCAGTACAGAGTAGGTTTATGACTTTGTGAAGTACTTTAAATACATGTGTGCACACACATGTTATTGAGGCGAGAAAAAAATCTAACAAAAGATCCAAACTCTAGAAATGCTAGTAGTTTCCCTAAGTTTGTTGTTATAGATAGATGCATGTATTGGGCTCTAATCCTTTTTGGTCGTTAAAAGGAAGTAGATAAATTTCAGCAACAACAGTGTGCTGGCAAGTAATTACAAGATGGATACAATTAAGAAATGTGTAATGAGCTAAGAAAGTCAATCATGACACCTATGGCATTTATTATAGCCGTGTTACACCAAAAGAATTGAGAAGACATACATTTTATTGGGCTCTAATTCTTCTACCATAAACTCAAGAACCTGTTTTAATGGTCGGTATGATTTTTATGGTGCGCTCTAATTCTTCTACCATAAAAAACTTACCAACCATTAACACAGGTTCTTGAGTTTTGAACTAGCACGTTTACCTAACTTACGCTGCTCTTAGGAAACCCCATCAAACGGTGACTGGGGGAGAAATTGGAAATCAGCAGTCCCTCAACATAGCTCTCTTTAGCTCAGACTCCTTTAACCCTGGAGTTCATAATTCTTCCTATTTTCTAAACCATGACAAATCTAATTAACTGGCAACATTTGTGCCCGTGCATTTTGTCTCACCCTAAATGGAATGACTCTCTTATTATGTTGCGCCCCGACCTAAGTCCTCATGTCCACTTTTCCTGACTCGCAACCCATTTAGTTGGCAAAGCCAACAAGACTAGGAACGTTCCCTTCATTCTATGTTTTTCCTGTTTCCGCAGCGCTTCCTTTCACTCATTAAACTTTCAGTGAGATGATAATTCTTTAGCTGCCGCTCATTCATGTAAACGTATCTTGATACTGGTTTAGGTCGGAGGTGGATATTCAAGTTCTAGTAGAGTTCTACTGTATTTTAAAACATCAAATCACATATACTTAACCATATTATACACATATACATAACCATATTATACATTCGAGGCAAATGAAGAGTACAAATGCATACCTTCTTTTGCTTTTTTTTAATTAGCAACGAAAGTAAGAGAAATTATAAACAGAAAGTTTCAACGCTTTAATTTCGAACAACAAACAACACAAATGTTCGTCCAAAATTGAACACATTCTTCTGATTTACACTAATTTACCCAATTTCAGAAACTATTTGACATGTAAACTGGCATATAATTTCCAAAAGATAAAACCTTTGAAATAATGCCATTTGACCTAAATCTTCCAAGACCAAAAATTGCACACCAAAGGATAAGCTCAATACAATATCTTGTAATGCACTTCAGAAACTGAAATTGCAGAAAACTCTAATCAATATTTCTGAAGTAAGAAATGAAAACTGACCTCAGGTTAGAGATTTCAACTGAATAAAAAAGCAAAATCCACGAAAATGGAGCTCTCCGAAAAATGGCAAAAAAAATTTGGACCATTTCTCGATTTGTGCGTGTCATCCTTGCGCAGGGGCCATGCTAATCTTCTCTGTATCGTTCCAATAAGTTACATTTTAGGGTTTTGATACATAAACTGAAGAAAGTTTCTTCCCCTCGCCGATGAGGGAGAAACTACTCCTAAGCCACTGAATAACGCTATTCAGTTACAATATTTTCTTTCTCTCTACTTTGATACAACTTTTACCTCAAATTTCTCATAAAGAGCTCTCCAATTCCTTCACCCACCATCGCCATTAACTGAAGGATCAGTTTATCAACAATGACCAAACTAAACAATCTAATCCAGTTATTTGCAGAGAAAAAGGATTATACCCTAAACCCTTCCATTGCAATTACAATTGCAGAAGATCCTTACGTCTCCAATAAGAGCAGCAGTAGCGCCAAGCAAGAGAAATAGCTCTTCATATGAAATTCCCAGCATCTCTTTTTTCACTTTGTTTCTGTCGTATGTTTGAAGAGCAACGCGATAGGAGATCGTAAATAAATGACCCGGCCTTATCGGAAATTTGGTTGGAGAATTTGTCAGGGAGTACCCCGCCGGTCCATGTTGTTGTTGCTGCTTCTGATGTTATTATTGCATACGAGTAGCTGAAAATTAGGGTTTGTTACCATAGATTTATTTTCTATTAATATATTTCAATATTTTTTCAACTATTGTATTCGTTGTCTTTTTTTCATTGTAATTCAATATATCTTATTGTATTCCATGTATTTCATTGTATTCACTGTTTTTTTTCTTATTGTATTTTAATGTATCCCGCTATATTCTATGCATTTCATTATACTCACTGCCTCGCTATATGCCATGAATGTATTCATATATTTTTTTTAATTAATATAATTTATGTATTCAGATGTATTATACAATTTCTTTGAAGATTGCTATATTTTTGGGGTATTTTTCGGTTGAGAATCTTTTTTATAACTGAAAATACAAAATTTGTGTGTTATAATTGAGTTTGTTGAGTTATATTAGGAGTCTATTATGTTAATTGATTCACTTTCCGTGTTAAAAACAGTGTAATCCCCTATTTCACGCCGTGAATACAGTCGAATACACTCGAATACAACAACTGATTAGCTGGACTTCCCTAATTCACGCCT